CACACACACACACACACACACACACACACACACACACACACACACACACACACACACACACTCTTTTAATAGAGTTTCTCTCTTCTTTACTTTTAAATGTCACTACATGTTACTGAGCACATAAGGTCATTTTTTTTTTTTTTTAGATCATTTCGGAGAAGACAGAGCAACCTCAGATGATGTGCAGCTTTTTTTTTTTCCATTCATCGTCTGTTTTCATTCTGTATATCAAATGTCCTTCAGATAATACAATAACATAGGATTTGTTTTGAGAAGCTTCATCATGGCTACCCGCTACAGCAAAGACAGGGCCAAGCACAACAACAGCCTAAAGCACATTCACAAATCAAATGTGAAAAGCCTTTAATCTGGTGGTTTGGCCAATGAACACTGAGAAACTCTAAATCTTATATACTTCGGCCTCCCTCTTGATCAATGAAGTGACGAGGATAAGAAAGTGAAATAGCTTTGCAGTCTGGAAAAATAGAAATTGACTGCAGATAATTAAACAAGAAGGAAACATTGCTGCAGAGTGACTGGACTTCCCTTCTCAGCCCACCCATTGTCAGGAAAAACATTGTGTGCAAATGTTTTTTTTGGTGTTTTTTTGGGGGAGGTTTATCAGCCCACAGCCACGATGTGGCCTTCACTAGAATAGAGAGCTGCTATGTTCCTCTTCTTGTGTTTTGAAACCACACACATACCTGTTTCTGCACCAGGAAGAAGTCCTTCTTGTATGCAGCGATGCCTTTGTTGAACTGGCGTCGCTCAGCTGCGGTCCAGCTGTCTGATCCTGAGCGAGAGACATTTAAAGAGAGAGAGAGAGCGAGAGAGAGAGAGACAGCCATTTAAAAACACTCAAGTATCTGCTTGCAGACTATATTCTGAATGGGAGGAGACCCTGACAAGTTCAATCCCAGCCCCCCACCCTTAAAACCTCTCTCTCTCTCACACACACACACACACACACACACACACACACACACACACACACACACACACACTCAAATCACTAGATAAACAATGGCGCTCCTGTCTTCTGCTTGGGATTAACCACATGCTGTAAGCCCCCTCCTTCCCTCATCGCATTGACCCTGACAATCCTCCACAGTCTCCCACTACCCCCCACACACCACAGCCCCGACACTCTCACTACTGCAGCTGCCATGGCTCTGAGGCAAAGTCACTGTTGGATGGTTGACACACCCATTATTATGAACCAGAGCACAAACGTAGTCAGAATTCATAAGCGCTGAAATCAGTATTTTCCAACTTATTATGCGCGTTTGTTTTGGGCGTCTGAATACCAGCTGGGTGGGGTTCATCAGATAAGGCAAAACATTTTCTGGACGCCAGAATATTATGACAGTTATTAAGAATTCAGGCAACTTTCTGTGATAGTTTACTCGTCACTACGTTAGTGCAGTCATAGAGTAACTGCACTAAGGATTATGTTCATTATCAAATGACTGTAAGGCTGTCACATTATCAGATATTCACAACACGATTATCGTAAACTAAAGAGAATTAAAAATTAATAATGATATTAATCCTATCAGTCTAATTCATCTTTGGTCATTGTGCACTTAAAGAAATGAGTGTCGGGATGTAAAGAGAGAGCCTGTAACCATAACTGTACAAAAGCACGATATTATAATATTTGTATTGTAAACAGTAAAAATTGACCGTTGATATCTTCAAATAACTTTTTTTTGTCCGCTCAACAGTCTAAAAATCCAAATATGATCAATTTATCGTCACATAAGACTAAGAAACAGTATTTGTTAACGACTCACCAGAGTAGTGGTAGTTTGCCAGATTATGAGACTTGGGGAAAACCGGATTCCTCAGCATCAGGAGGGACAGAGCGGCCTGAGAAACAAACAACACTTGAACAATGCTGGAAAGTGAACAAACATTGGCGGCACAGCGGTGATTGTTATGAGCCTTTATACAGCGGGTCACTCCCGACTCTTGGCTCCATCAGACGCTCCAGTTGAGCTTTATAAACCCGTTAAAAACACACTGAGCCAAACAATGACCCAGTTGCTTACAGGTAACCAGGGAGAGAGAGGGAGAGATAAGCATCGCTCTCCTTTCTCCTGCATGTATCCGGTATCAGAGTGCATCACATCATGACATTACACTCATTACACTGTGCTCTTTGAGAAGAAAGAAAAGTCTTGACCGTGCATGAATGTTGAAAGAAGGCAGTTTGAGCCGGACTGCTGCAGAGAGTGGGCGCATCGACACTTCCCCCCCCCCCCCTTACTAGTAGTTTCCTTGACAACGTTGGACCAGTGTTGGTCTTCAGCACTATAAAGCGCTCCGACAGCTCTGCTGCTACATCTTCAATAACGGAAGTATTGATTTAGGATCAACGTTTAAGTCACTGTGAACACAAAGTAATGCACAGTCAGCACTCTCGGTGTAAAATAATTCATCTTTTAGATCCGCTGTAACTTCATTGTTAGGAAACAGCTCTTCTTTAAACGAGACAATAATGGGTTAAAAATGTGACTTCGTTTTTAAAAAGCTAATATTCAGGAAGATTAATTAACACCATTAATGTTTTTGCACTTGTAAAAAGCCTTTTGCAACATTGCTTTACGTTGATATTTGCCTTTATGTGGTAAAACGCTTTGGAAGCTTTGTTTAGAAAAGTGATCTATCAATAATAAAGCAAAAATGTCGAGCATTTGATAGTTGCAGCTTTTCCAGTGTGAGAATTTGCTGCTTTTTTGCGTCTCAACATTAAAATAAATTGAATAAGTTTGAGTTTGTACTATTGATCGGACAAAACAAGATATTTGATCTGCTGGGACTCTTTGGAAATTGCGACAGGTGTTTTTTTAATTTATTATAATGAACTATATCGTCATCATTAATGAAAATCATTGGTAGTCGCAGCCCTATTTATTATCATTATAATTATTTAAATTAGTCACATTAACTTTGAGGATACAAGCCGGTCACATGCAGCATGGCTATTCTGGGATGCTAAGCTTTAATATTTCCTTTTTATTATCCCAGCATCCCTCTGCTTCTCTTAAATAATAATAAAAGTGACTTTTGGTAATTCAATGCGACGTGACCAGGAGAGAACCACTCGAGATGCTCCCTCATAACGTTTCACAGTGCTAAGAAATATGTTTATTTATTATATTATATAGTATAATTACATGAATCAATTAAAGTTTACAATGCTGTACATTTCCCCTCAGGACAAAACAAGATGGAGCATTGGTACAACACTACAGCACCATCACAGTTTCCCAAAGCATCTTCCAAGGTCTTGTTTTGTCTGACAATCAGCCCCAAACCCCAAATATTCAGTTTATTATCACATAAGAAAAAGAGAAGCAGATCTAAGACACGGGTAGTGGAACGTTTTTGCTTGATAAACTATTAATTGACTTCAAGAATAGTTGACATTGAATGTTCCGTCTATGGATTAATTGCCTCTTTGTCTCAGCACTACAGTTAACCCTGTGCATCACACCTCACTGACAGCATGTGCAGCTCCACGCTCTAAATAACCAAACCGTGTCGCTATCTCAGTCATCTCAGGCCACCACACCAGTTTCACTGCAAAGCATACTGAAAGTCTGCAGATCACTCGCTTCCGTTCAGTAATCACTGACAGCTCAGATCAATCACTACATTTACGTGCACATGAGAAACCCCGTCAGTGGGAGACAAGTTTAGGCAGGAAGTCAGAGGACACTGCAACAAACTGGCTACTTTAAATGTCACGTTTATATGCCGCTGGTCAGGAATCAATGTTTTAACTAAGCCTGGCATACTTTCAGTGCGTTAGTGAGATATGAAGCTACACTTCGACATGTTTTTGTCCGGGTTGGGTTTTGGGATTTAATTATTATGGATACAAGGATGCACCGCTACGGTTAATGATGCCCCCTCACAACACCACTGTCTTGGAGCATTTTCACCCAGTTACAACAACATTAAGACCAAAAAAAATCTGGATTTACCAGCAGTTAGTGAGACTTTATAAATCCCGAACCCCGATTAAGGAAACTAAGCTTCTCCTTCATACGATGAGAAACATGAAGAAATCAGGTTAGAAATAATCCAGTTACTTAAGTGCATATAAACGATCTGATTGGTGAATTGCTGTGTCTGTTTCTGTGCACTAACTGCAGCTGAGGCGGGTCATGAATTATATTAATGCTACCATGGAAATATGGAATATAATTATGTTCACGAGTTTTACATTTCCTGTCGTTCAAGACAGGAACACTTTAGAACGAATGATTTATTATTGAATTCATGACTAAAATACTATAATCCCTTTCACTTCAATAATTCTGTAAAAGCCCTCCTTCTCTATAACATTAAATATTAATGACTATATAAAACATATGTATTAAGAATTTTACCACTCAAATCAGCAGCTTGCGTTTTGATTTCATCAGATTTGATTGACCAAACAAGGCATGTTGCTAAATCCTGATGGTTGCACAGAAGTACTTGACATCATCCGTTTCACCCGCTCACTTCAAACCAGCAAGAAGAGCAAAGAGAACAACACAGCTTCAGAGGTTTCTCTCATGCAAAATATTAAAAAAAATACTGTGTTTATACAAGATCCCATCACTCAGGGAAAACAAAATGTGCAGCTCCTTTAAGTGTGTCTTTCCAAATGGTAGATCCCTCAAAAACATGTAAAATTTGTGACACCAAGTGTTTTAATAGGAGCACAGGTTTGTCTATGTGTCACGGCGATCTTTACGGGGAAACCCGGTGTTTGGTTTTTGTCCCTGCCTTGTCAGTCAATATGGATTGTTCTGTTGTGCTCACCATTATCTCCCCTTTGCACTCATACAGACAATGGTGGGCTAACTCCTGGTTGGTGCCGCCTCCACACAAAACACTGGAGCAGGCCAGGTGCATGAGGTCTTCCACTGTAAGACACAGAGACGGCGATTGTGAGCACGGGAAGAAAAAACATTTTGTTTTTATAGTTATTATTTTGTATTCAGTGGTGACAAAATGTTATTCTTGTAAGCGAGAGAATAAACGTCAAACTAAAAGATAATTGATTCAATTATGAAATGGCATCGTGCATGTAGTTTTATCTAAGTAAAAAAGAAAAACATCTATTTTTAATAATGTGCGATCAGCAGTACCCCGAATCCAAAACAAAACTTCCCCCCGGACTGACAATGAAGTTTATTTTGCCACATTAAATTGCATTTCTATCCCTGGAGAAATAAAATTGCCTGCATCTGCTCACTGAAACCCATGTATCTAAATGCAATATAGGAAAATAAAGAAGTAATTTGCTGCTGGAGACGTCTTAAATTGCAACAACTCGATAATGAATTATTGAACACACTCCAGTGATAACAACAAAAAAAAAAAAAAAAATCACTTCATAAACAAGAAAATGCTAAACTAGTAAGCTTGGAGAAAAAGAAAGAAAGGCTTCCTGTTAATTCTAGGAACAGAGGGTCAGCTTCATGGTAAATAATCCCCCCACATGCACGTCAACAAATCCTGCTCCTGCAACGACAGTCTGACCGTATTTATACTTTCAGTTTCAGGTGATGTAACAACTGTGAAATACTGCGTTTGGTACCTCTCTGCTGGAGGTCAGGCTTTTCCTCCAGCTCATTCAGTGGAGCCCAGGCCAGCTCCGCTCGATGATGATCCAGCTCGACAGCTGACCGCCGCCTCAGCTCTGGCACCTCGGCCTGGTACCGCGACCCAATATTTATCCGTCTGGGAACGGGACATCAGTGTGAGCTACACGGCTTTGAATTTGATCGATTCAAAATTCATCGAGTGGCTTTGCCACTAAGACACATTCGTTCACTGTTATATATTTAAGACATCATATATCAATATCAGATTACTTGTAAGAGTAAGCGCTTGTTTCATTTCTGAGATCACATTTCGATTACTTGGGTTTTCTCTCTGCTGTGATCTTTAAATAGACACAGGAAGATTGTTGAGGCTCTCTGGCTCCGAGCACCACAATCATTGCACTGTTTTGATTTCCAGCTCGTTACACAGCTCTCTTTTGTCCTCTCAGCATAATGAATAAAATGCTAATTCCTTTTCCAATTTAGTATTTTTAAAACAGAGCGCACTTCTTCAATTCACTGAACCAAAAGTAAACGGATCGTCGCTGTGGTACAAAGGTCGCGTTCAAGCAGGAAGAAAGGCTCATAATTCAACAAATGCGTGCATCCCTGTAGGCCTACATGGCAGCTGAAAGCAGATACCTCGGTGTTACAGTTGTGAAATTCATGCTGTGTTACATTACCAGACAACTCTGTTCCAGCATGCCCCCTCCCACCCCCTGCATTTCCAGTAGGCCTGCAGTATTTCCAGCTGAGTATGTGTGTATGTGTTCTGGCAGCCTCCATCAGGGAAGGTGGGCTGCTAAAAGTTGAACTGCGCTGGCTCTCGCGTGTTTGGGAGTGCAGCAGGCCCGGCTGAACGCATGATTTATGGGAAGCCTCGCTGGCTCATCCCTGACTGTCTGCTGAGCAGCCCCAGTCGGGGAAACAGCTTGCACAATGCAGCCCCCATGAACTGCACCTCACGGTTGATGCAACTCCAAAAAAACAAAACAACAAAAAAAAAAAGCCCAGACTTATAGTTTAAGGGTTAAACTAAATGGAGCCTCGGTGTAACTTAAAGCTCCACTTTCTCTGCTGCTCTAATTTTCATAAACATCAAAGGCATCAGTGGCTGTGCTTACATTTATGGAATAACTTGGCCGTTGGCCGTGTTTCTACTGAAGGTCTTCTTAGCTTCAAGTTGTTTACATGCACCGTTGATACCCTGCAAGTTTAAAGGTATAATCCTTAAGATTTTCATGAAATCAAACCACATTTCTGCTCATGTTTATGGTCAGTATTCTTATTATATGTATTCAGTAATAATGACCTCTCTTTTTTTATTGTTATTGTCAGATTGCCCATCAACCAGAGTACGACGGCGTCACTGTTTACAGTGTTAGAGTTGTGTTAAGTTACTGCTATTAATAACAGAACATCCTTCTGCTGCTGCTGCTTCACGTTGAAAGAGTTCAACCTGTAAAACACAAGATTGCTTTTATTGTGAAGCAGCCGGGGGAAATGTATATTTGTCATAAGGTCAACCACGATCACTTATGAAAAATGCAATCTCAAAACCCCATCAGCTATCGGTCTGACGATAGATGAGCCTCCGGGGGGGCGAGGGGCCATATTCCTGGGGTAGCGGGTGCATGAAGCAAACATCCGGGCCAAGACTTCCTTTTCCCTGCGCTCGCAAAATCCAGATAACAAGCTCATTTTAAACCAACAACAAGCAGAATCACGGTACGACGATAGCCAGTGGGCTCCGAGTTTGAATTTTGGCAAAAAGCGTTCCGCCTCCTTTTCTCTCCACACAGACATTGTGCCCGCATTCAACCGAGGCCTGCTCGAACGTGATTGGTCAACTCGAACTACAGACGAAAAGCAAAACGCGAACACCAACATCTTATCCTGTTGCCCACAGATTCTACATGTGAATGCAGAATCCGTTTATCAGGATGATCAAGAACGCGCCAACAAACGACCAGACGATAAGCAGTTTTTACTTCTTCCCCCCCGACGGTGAACAATTTTTAATTTCCTCCTCAGCATGGTTGCTGGAATCAGATTGTCTGACTTCTTAATTAAAACAATGCGACATACAACTTAATAACCAAAACGACATCCTGTTCAGCACGTACGACATCAAAGACCACCGGCCTCTGATGCACTCACTGCCATTATCTTTCTAAAGGTTTCATTTGACAGTTAATATGGAGCAGTTATGGGCAGGATGCACTTCCATTGAGAGAGACATTAGACTGCATCGTTAGATCAGAGGGCGATTGCTGGCGCTAGCGCTAGCTGCGGATGACAGGGCAGAAGATTCCAGTGGTAACAGCGGCGGAGAGGAGGGCCGCCTAAAAGGACGGGTTTGGTATTTCAAGAAGTCTGTGTCCTCTGTCAAGACATTTCATGATTCAGCCCAGTGTTATGGTTTCAATAATTGATTTCAGAGCTACTACTCTGGCTTTGGTAATGCACGCTCTGCTTTGAGCGCCCTCTGAAAATGACACACAACTGCTCCCCAAAACCCCAAAACCTTTCCGCAGTGAAAGAAGATATATTTTGGGGGATGTTGAGAGGGAAATACTCACGGTTCTATGCTGACTGGAGTGGCCTCGCCTATAGCAGACAGAACTGGTGGTGTGATGTCGCAGCTGTCTGAAAGAGCAGCAACACAAAATCCACTCAGTGACATTATCAAATATATATATAGTCAGAAATCGCACATCGTTTCTGCCAGATGCTTCTTACGAGCGTGCGGAGCTTCATATTTGAATTCCCACAGTTTAGATGACCCGTGGATAATTCAGGGAGGTCTTATGAGCTTGTCTTACTTACTGGAGCGCAACAGGCTGCGTGTTGCCGACTTGGGCGTTGCAGGAGGCGGCAGGCCCTGGCCGCTGGCTGCGACAGAGGACAGGAAAGTGGAAAAGTAGAGCCCGGAGCCCTCGCGGACGGGGCTGAGGATTGGCGGCGGCGTGTAAGGGGGAATGGAGAGAGGGTTTTCGGCGAGGCGGATGGGGGATCGTAGGTGGCTCTGGTAGGGTGTGATGCTGGAGTAGACAGAGGGGGTGATGAATAAACCAGGTTTGGGCGGCGGGATGAAAAGGGGTTCCGGCCGCGGACGCCGTTTAAACTTTTTGCCTTCATCGTCTTTCTCCCCTTCGGTTCTTCCATTCTGGTGGAGGGAAAAAAAGTTTATGAGGTAGATTTATCAAAGTGCACCGTGATACATGCACCTACAAAAACTCGACAGTATATATGCACGCTTATAAAGTCGGCTTCTTGTGAATTTATCCTGATAGATCCTAAAGAGAAAGAACAAGGCACCCCAACCCTCTACTGTATGGTGCATAATGTACAGTATGGCAGCACTAAACCCTGATAATCTGCCTGATCTGGGACAGGGCAACCAGTTCACCAAATCCACCCCCCCCCCACCCCCCAAAATGAAACAGGGAAAGGGAGAAAAGTGTGGAGGACTGAAATGGGAGCAGGGGAGACACGGAGCATGATGGGGGGAAGGGAGCGCATGTTGGCAGGGAGATGTGGCACAAATGCAAGGATTTAATAGCTGGAGTTCAGAAAGACTGAAAACAGAATGAGGAAGACAGTTGACACCAACCTGCAACCTTCCCCTCCTTTGTAAATTAATTCAAACAGTTTAACAAATAATGTTTGTAAAAGTATGGAAATCTAACAATTAAAAAATGGCATCAAAGTACACCAACTGCAAAAACAAAAGCATCAACGAATGAGTATGTAGCTACCTGCTCTGAGCTCTCCGACGCGGAGTTCCTGAGTGAGCGCCTCCGGGTGACGATGACCGAGGGCTTGTGGTCGGGGCGGCCGAGGTCCAGGGGGTTTGAAGGCCTGGGTGGCCAGTTGGGGGCCAGGGCTGCTTCATCTCTGTCGGGAGGGGAGGCACCCTGTCTTCGCACTGGAACAGACACAGGGATGACGAGCGGCAGGAGCTCGTCTCGAGGCCGCTTGGCGTTCAGACCCCCTGTTCCAGTGGGACTCCACGGCCTGTGGGGCTCCTAATAAAGACGGAGGGTGAGACAATGCATCTAATGAATGGATTTTTGTTTAATATACAACTTTAAGAGGATAAGCGAATACATTGCAAATGTACAGCATATCGGCAGTAATTTTGATTTAAAAATTTACCTATTTAATCTTCTTTAGAGTTATTATTTGCCGTTTTTACCATTTGCTTTCTACCATGATTAAAAACTGAATACCTTTTGGATTGTTGGTCAGACAAATTAAGTCTGTGGGATTAAGGAAATCCTAATGGGCCAAACGATTCATTCAGAAAACAACAGACAGATTAATTGATAATAAAAATAAGGGTTAGTTGCAGCGCTGCAATAAAGGTCTATATTATGTCCTTTTGGAGGTGAAGCTGGGGGGGGGCTCCTCAAGCTGGACTGCTGTGATGGTTAAAAGATTGATTTATCAAAGACACTTCCATCTGTTGCTGTTTGCAACACTTACTCACAAGCTAATCACATTAAGACTCTCAGGTGACACATTGTGAAAAACATCAAGTCGTGTAGCGGATACAGTGCACCACGCAACAAGTGCAAAAAAAAAAAAAACCAATCACAACCTTTAACAACTTCAGTTATTGTAGCTTAGCACAACCCGGCACAATACATCTCAACTAAAATGTACCTGTGTGGTTACATATGTTAATTCTGCCAGGGCAGGCTGCCAAATTATAATCGATAGAGTAAATCAGGAACCCTAAAAACCTCGTTCCTTAGCTCACACAAACACACAGATCGAAGAGAAAATGATGTCAATACTACAATGGAGTGTTAACAGACAGTCAATACAGTATGAAACAAGCCTGAGCTGCATTCCTAATTGACAGAATCCAAAAACAAACAATGAACACCTTGATGCAGCACTGTTAGATGCAGCATTCAAGTGACAGACCTTAGATACACGTGAAAGGAACCCTCCCCAAAAAAAAAAAAAAAAAACATTCTCCACATTTTTTTTTCTTTGACAAAACCATAATGAGTGGGAATGAGCAGCCCGTGTGCAACTCTGGGGCAACTTCAAAGCCATCTGAACCACCACATCATTGAAGACAGATGCATTCCGTCACTGCACAATGCATCTTCGTGGGCAGGGAGGCATGCAGCAGTGTGGCTACGCTGGATCTGCGCTCATTACTGCTGGTGGAAAACTCCAGTCCCTCCACCGGAGCAGTGGAGAGATATTCTGCTGAGCACTGCAGGCAGGGCAACCCTGCACCCCTCCCTGTATGGGGGGGGCAGGCATGTAACTAAACAGTGTCTGTATGATCAGCTAGCCGTGAGGCGGATCCAGGGCACGGCCATGCTGAACTACAGACACACTGAGTCAGTGCTGTTTGGCGACAGAACGTGTTGCATAATCGACACATTCAGCACCTTTAACACAGACAAGTACTGCTATTTCATCAGGTTTGTTCACCGATTCGTCTCGCGAGAGCTGAAAGGCACATATTTGTGAAGTGCATATTTACCTTGCGACAGCATTCACAATGCAAGGTCTTGTTTTAGCAACAGACTTTCCTCACAAGGCAGAGCTGAGCAGCCCTGTTCTGCGGTGCAAACTTCGTAGGGCGTTGATTACGTTCAGCATCTCTTCCAGCAACACGTTAATCACAAATAACACAAGTTCTGGCACAGTTTTCCCTGGCAGTTTGTTCCAGTTCCCGCTCTTGTTCGGGGAGCTACAGTCCCACTGCAATTATACCCTCGGATAACACTAAAAAAAAAATTGATTTTTAGCTCTTGCTGAGATAATCACAATTAAGGCTTACAGCCAAGCTATGAACTGATACGCAATCATAGGGACTTGGAACACTCTGTCCTTTTATGTTAAAGGTTATCTCGCTTAAGAGGAAACAGCTGAGAAACACATGGGAGAGCAAAAGAACGAGGAAAGGCAGAAAAGGAAAACAGAGAAAGACGAATGGTTCTCAAAGTACATACCTTTACAATATGTGGTGGTAGAGACTCCATTTCCGAGGCCTTCTGAGCGAGAGTCTCCAGGTTGACCTCCTGGGACACCCTGCGTTTCCTCCGCGTGCTCTGGATGACGCCTGTTGGGGCTGCCTGGACGTCTCGGGCCCCGTTCTGGGAGCCCTGCGGCCCCGGGGCAGCCTGATCCGAAGAGACTGAGAGAAAAGGGTTGTCCGACGGCGCCCCCTCTTCCTTTGAGAGCCGCCGTGATCTGCGAAGCTGCGTTTGGGATTGAGTTTGGGGTTGTGACTGGGACGGGGCCTCGGGCTGCAGAATGGGCGGCAGCAGATCCGAAGGCTGCTGGGGTTCTGGGGTGATGTCCTGGATAATTGGTTCCTGGATCTTTGGGAGAACTGGAGCCGAGGACTCCTGGGAGTGCACCACCACCACGGGCTGTGGATGCGGGTGTGCATTTTGTGCACCGGGGTAATAGTCAAGCACATGAGGGTTTTGTTGTTGCAACTGCTGACGTTGCATTTGCTGCTGAATTTGAAGCTGTTGCTGTTGTTGCTGTATCTTTTGTTGTTGCTGCTGCTGCTGCTGCTCGTGCTGCATTTGTTGCTGCTGCTGAAGCTGTTGCTGTACATGCTGTTGATGCTGAATGATTTGTTGCTGCTGCAGTTGTTGATGGTGCTGCTGCTGAATTTGCTGCTGAAGTATGTGATGATGTTGTTGCTGGCGTTGTATTTGCTCTTGCTGCTGCAACTGGTGTGGGGGTTTCGCTTGCGTTGGGTAGTTAGGTGGGTTGGGTAGGGTCGTCCTGTTGCCTTGAAATGCCTGGTAGTACGCTGGCAGGTGCTGCTTGGGCTGACCAAAGGCCAACTGGAAGGGTTGCAACACTGAGCTTCCTCCTGGATGGGACGTGCTGTGCTGCTGGGTGTTCAGCGCCCCAGGTTTCAAGGTCTCCTGAAAGGCCTGGGACTGCTGCTGCTCCCAATCCAGCCCCGGAGCCTTAGACGCATCCCTGTACGCTTCAACTGCAGGGTTTGGCCCCAACTGTTGCTTGTCTGCCGCTCTGTTTGGGGGCTGTTGATGTGGCTGTAAACCAGAAGTCTCGTGCATTGACTTCACAAATGTATTCTGGGTCCTTGAGTCCGTTACGTTGACTCCCCCCATGTAGTTAGTAAAGTTGTGTCCCCAGTTAGTCATGGTATTCCAGGAGGCAGCTCTCTGCTGCTGGGACACGGATGGCTGCTGCTGACTGGGCTCCTGGTGGGCCCATTTCATAGGCACAGTCTGCTGATAATGACCCCTGCTCTGGTCACCCTTGTCTGGGCTGAAGATGACAGAGTTCAGGTACATGTGAGGGGCCTCTGGATTGGAGGTTACAGTACTTGCAGCCTCGCTCTGTCCGGGGTCTGAGGCAGGGCCACCGGGGACATAGTAGGACCCTTCAGGCTGTTGAGGACTCTCCTTCATTGCTGTGGTTTGATCGCTGAAAAATGTGATGCGTTTGCCCGTTCTTTTGGCGCTGGGTTTCTGCTGAGCTGGTACGCTCATGACGGGCATGAAGAAGCCGAGTCAGGTGATTGTTCTCAACCAAACCAGCTACCAACGCTCCACTGGATGACTTGAAATATATACATATATATATATATATATATATATATATATATATATATATATATCTCAATCCAAAAACAATTGTGAAGTAAAGCTGTAAAACTACATCGACATCAGAGATAATCTTCTCTTCCCCTCTGAAGTTCTTTGTGGCCCACTCAGAGGTCCCGGGCCTGGGGTGAGCAGATCTAAAGGAGTCCGTGTGTTTCTCTCATTCATGGGCAACACCCTGTATAGAGAAAGAGAGAGAGAGGTCAAGCACCAGACTAAAGGGGTCCCCACAGGGGCGTCTCATTAACACCCCCCGCCTCAGTCATTTAAAAACCTGCTGTTTGCGTTTTTAAACAATGGACCTCCACTGAAATGTATTGGGTGTGAGAATAGAGGAGGGGGGGGGGGGTCTAAACTGTGTTATCATTCACTAAGCTCACGTGACAGGGATAAGGTCCAGCATTCAGGCCAACACGTATACCGGACCTGCTGGAAGGTAGTTGGTGGAGATCGCTAAATCAATAGTTCCTGTAAACGTCATTACTGCACAACGTTTAATCCTGGACCGTGACATCAGCATTCAATGACACACACACACACACACACACACACACACACACACACACACACAC